ACAATCTTCACATGCAATGAAGAAAAAAATAATAATGTATATAACTCTTGACCTAGCAAAAATAGTTAATTTCTCGCATTATGATGAATCAAAGTTCGAATCTCTGTTATGAGAGATGTTCATATTTAATATTTGATAGTGTTTCGAATAGAATTACTTCTAATAGGAAGATGCCTATGCTTAGCAAAAATAGTCATATACATAGCGTCATTGTTATGTGAAAATGAGATAAATAAATAATCAGGTAAAAAATTAAATAAATGATATATGTGCGTGTTTTAATTACTTGATGTTTTGTTTAAAGTATCCGTAAGAACAATATGAAATGACGTACAGAAGTATGTTAAAAAAAATAAAAAATTAATATATTGTTTATAAAGTTTTGCTCAGTATTAATTTCTCTAGAATTACTACCATGCATTAGCGGCCGCTCTGAATCTAATTTGAAAATGCTTGATTCCACGCTAAATAATTAAAAATATTTTTTTATGCTAAAATATTACATATGTGGTTTCACTCAAAATGTTTGTAAGAATTTTTTTTGACTCAAAAAACGTTTGTAAGAATTTAAAATGAATTTACCATCATGCATAATTGATTTTTAATGAGAATATCATGTCATAAAATTATTTTCAATTTTTTAATGATGAATAGTAAAAAAATTTTAAACTAACAAAATTTATATACATATATCAATCTTTGTGCTTTAATTTGAAAGAATTAAATTTCAAAAAACGTTGGCAGATTATACTACCTCCAATTCTTAATATAAAAACTATTTTGATATTTAATTTAATTCTAAATATAAGATTTCAATTCATTTTACCTCCCTCTCATATTGATTTATTTTTTCTCTCAAGATAACTCTTGTAGTAGATGCACATGTTCAATATTTTACTAAATAGTAGTTATAACTAATATATATGATTAACAAATATATTTTAAGAAAGACAATGTCTATTTATTATAAATAATTAATTTAAATAATTTTTTTAATATAATTAAATTAGTTAATTAGTTTTTATATTAATAATTAAAAGTAATATATTAGGTTGACCAAAATGAGAGGACAAGAAAATGAACATTTAAGCGTGGTCCCCAACCGGATTGGCCTGAATCCGAGAGGCAGTGGACCCGGGTTGCAGCAAAAAATAGTAACTAAATAAATAAATTGTGGTCCAACGAGAGCAGTACAGTGCAGTGCAGCTATGAAAGCTGCAGTGCACCCGAACCCATGCGCCCTCCTCCACATCATCATTGCTACCCTGCCAGCACATGCATTTTCCCCGCCACGTGTCACTTCTCTCCCGACCTTTTCCCATCTCCCCTGCACTCCCTCATTTGGGAAAATGAGGCACACGTCTAAAGGAGTAGATTTTATTTATTTAAATTCTTATAAAATATCAAAATTACCATCAGATACTAACAAACTTTAGAATATTATATGTTAATTATAAAATAGTATCACTATCTTTCAAATTTTCAATTCACATTTTCTCTACCATTGTGATTGACAACTTTAGCAGCAACTATTAACAATTCAGTGAGAAGCTATTGACAACCTAAACAATATCTACTGACAACTTACTTTATAGGATCACGTAACTTCCACATAAGAGTAAATTATGGCCAAATAGCATAATTCAACAATTTTAACACATAAATAGAAAGCTTTTCGAAGGCATTAAGAACTTTAACCAAACCCAATAAGATTATAACAGAATTTTAATACAGAGATCTATTAACAACCTTAACAGTGAGTATTGACAATCCAAAGGGAGTGGTTGACAACCTAGACAGCATTTGTTGACAATTGACTTTATGGGATAATATAACCCCTACACAAAAACAAATTATAACTCAATAGTATAACATAACTTTAAAAGTACTTGTGTGAAAGTTAGTTGTGAGTTGTCAACAGATACTATTTAGGTTGTCAACAACTTCTCTTGAGTTGTTGATACTCAATGTTTAGGTTGTTAATGGATCTTTGCATTAAAATTATACTATAATCCTATTGGGTTTAGTTAAAGTACTTAATACCTTCGAAAAGCTTTCCATTTTAGTGTTAAAATTGTTGTATTATACTATTTGGTTATAATTTACTCTTCTGTGGAGGTTATGTGAACCTATAAAGTAAGTTGTTAGCGGATACTACTTAGGTTGTCACCAGCTTCTCATTGGGTTGTTAATAGTCGCTACTGAGGTTGTTAATCACAATAGTGGAAAAGACATGAATTGGGAATCTGAGGGGTAATAATGTTATTTTACAATTAAAATATATTATTCTAAGGTCCCTTAAGACCTGCTAGTAACTTTGACATTTTATGGGATCTAGATGAATAAAATCTACTGCTTGGGACCTATATGTCATTTTCCCCTCTCTTTTTTTTTTGCGCACAGTTTTCCCCCTTCCGTAAACAACAGGGGTTAAGATACCGTGGGATGTTAAATATGTATATATTTTTCTCATATAAATTCAAATTTTGGCCCACTATTTTGAGGAAAATTAGTTTATTCCCCTAAATCCAATATATTTTTTCCCATCCTCTCTTTCTTTCTTTAAACAGTGAAAAAAATCTGGGTGATCACCAGTATCGAAAAAGTTCTTTTTTAGAAAAAAAAATAAAAGTAATTTTCGGCTGCAAGGCCGTTGACTAAGAACAGTATTTTTTGAATGAAATGGGTAATTCTCATTGCAAAATAAACTATACAAAGTCAACCGATATACAAACAGTATTTACATGATTAAATTGATAGTGAAAAAACTTTTTAAGGAATGTCTAATTATAGCACAAATACTCATCAAAATATTTTCAGCAACATAATTCTCACCGGAAAAGAGATAGTAATTTCTTGCTTCCTATAATTTCTAACAAGTTATACAAAATCCAATTTTCCAAGAATCCTTTAGAATTGGATGTTGCAGTTGATGAGTTAACCAATAAATAATGTCTTGTCCAAAAAAATCTATGTACATATGATTTGAGAGAACTTTCTTTCACAGTGAGAAAACAAAAAGATAAGTCTTAAAGACATGATTAAGATCCTCTGTGTCCGCATGGCAAAGACTAAAAACAGTTTTTGATTTCATGTTAAATACTACTAGCTTGTTTTGGTTGAAAGAATCTTTATTTCCGTGAAAAATCTAATTTTATTATTTTTAACATGAAATCAAACGTATATTTTAAAATGCAAGTATAAAATAATTTATAAACCACCTATAAATTAGGTTTTTAAATTTAAATGTAGTCCTCATAAATTATGATTCATATTCGTGTAGACTAGGCAATCATCAATTGATCATTAGTTTCTTATAAATTATTACACCTATAAGTTCTATGTAAAGAGACCCAGTCAGTTATGTATTATTTTATTTTTTTAAATAAAATTGTCTTCTTATAAGAAAAATTCTGACAAATTAGTTTTAAGAATTTCTATTCAACAGACTAAATATCAAAATTCTTCCAGTAATTATGTGTTACATTAGGTTTGATATTTTTGAATTTGAAATTAATAAATCATTAATTCTCACACAATGTTTTTGCCGTAGGTTTATAGTTTGCCCTCGTGAAGGCATTAAATTAATGTTTTATCTGAAATTGTTTAATAGACTGTAATTTAATAACATGAAATATTTATTCTCATAAGTAGAAGGTTGTGGGTTAAATTTTTTTTCTCTCTCACGCGGTTAGCATCTTTCTTCTCTATAAAATGACGTCCAACATGATATTTGTGGTTCACTGTCTAAGAGTGCCAATCCTGATTAAAATTAATACGTGATTTAAAATTACTTTAATAAATAAAGTACAATAAAATCATAATCTTTTAAATCAATTGATGCCCTGACTAAAACATATTTGAGTTTAAAATGAAGGCTCTTCTTAACTTTATAATTAACCTCCTCCAACTTTCAGATTTTCGCAGGTATCACTTTTATTATTAGTTTTATTCACTATTTATTCGCAAATGACTTAAAATTAAAAAAAAAAAAGGAAGTTGTAGGCATATAAAAATAAATTTTGAGGAAAAAAATTGATAATTTAAGGCTATCTACATAAACTTTAAAATTTATGAAGATTTATTATTAAATTTTAAAGGTTTATATAACTCGCATCTAAAGATTTTAGTTATTAATAGAACACAATGATACTCCTCCGGTCCTTAATATATGACTCAATTTTTGAGTTGGTTTTTTTGGTCCTAAATATAAGACCCATTTATCATATTTATCAATTTTCTCAAAATTACCCCTATAGATACTCTCTCAATTATAATCAAGTAAAAGAGGGAGATGAGGTATTAAGAAAGATAATTGTGGTATTTTAGGAAAAACGTGTCATTTTTCTTATAATTAACTAACTCACCTAACTTCTTTAATCTAATCAAATTAGTTAAATGGGTCTTATATTAAGGATCGAAGGAGTATCATTTTCGCAGGTATCACTTTTATTATTGTTGTTGTTGTTGATAGAGTTACTTATACATGATTAACAAATTTTATGTAATTAATTCTAAAATAAACAAACAAATATTGATTTCGCGTGATTATACCCTGATATGAAATCGGGAATGATTAAAAAACCAATGAGCTAAGAATTTTTTCAGAACTTAAAGCGATAAAATCTATACATTAATATGATTAATACTATATGGAAGTCAAATCCTTCTCACAATTCGCATGATTGTTTCTTTCCTTGCTCTAATCTAATCTAATCAATATCGATGTGATCCCTTTACTTGGTTTTCGGCGAAAATTGGTCTCGTAGGTTTTTCAACTCGCTTTCTCACACCCAACTACTCAAGTTTTCTTATTTCTTATTGCTTTGCTGAGTTGTTGCTCGCTGTCAGTTTCACTATAAACCAATAAAAAAAAATAAAAGAAAGAAAAAAGGGCGGGGGGTTTGCGACCTTTTTCCTCTGAGAGAGGGAAAGAGAAGAGATGAAAAAAAGGGGGACGAAAACAACCGACTTTAGTAGAAACAGAATGGGGGATTTGGACACTAGGCTTTTGTGAGTGAGCAAAGTTTCTTTCTTCCTTCAGCGTGTGGAAGCTGGCTAGATACCGAGATCCCACGGCATTTGTTGTTTGGCATAGAAATGTCTTATAATTTTATATATTTCTAAAAATCTTTGCACGAGTGTTTGTTGGGGAAATTGTTCCGAAGCTGACACGAGGTGGTCTCATAATATTCAATGATTTCTCGTTTTTTATGCCTACAATTTATGTAATTCTCTCTTGAAATTGGGTTTTTGGTTGAGGATTTCGGGTTTAGATTATTGGGTCTTACAGTTCATATTTAGTCATCAATACGCGTTTCGTGTCCGTGCGGATATTTTGCTCCTTCTTCTTCTTCTTCTTTGAATTTTTGCTTACTGTCACAGTCAGATCCGCATCTGGTTTTGCGCGGGACGCGTCCCTGGACATTCCAGCGGGTAATTCGCCTACTTTTAATTGTTCTGCTTGGAATTCTTGTTCTCTGTTTGGCTGTTGTGAAAAGTGTGAACCCATCTTAAAGTTTCTTCCTCCTTTTTGTCCAACCCATGGTTGCTGTTCTAACATTGAAGCTCCATGGTTCTTAAAATGAAGGTACCAAGGTGGGCGATACAGACAGAATTTTATAGCGTATAACGCATCTTGGAAAACTGTTTTTGCAGTTTAGAATTCTATCTTCCTCTTGCTTGGATCACTGGATAATTCTTAGATCCTAGCTTGACAACTTCATTTGTGATTAATGCAGATCAAGTTGGACAGAATTCTTGTGAAAGAGACTTGAGTTCTGAGTTTCCGTGCGAATTAGTGTTTGGTGTTTATTGTGGAAGGATTTTGCCTCCTCTGCCTCTTATCCTGATCAGGCAGGATTAACAGCGTTTCATGTACGGATTTCTAACATGCTTGTGAGAAAAAGAGCTTAGAGACTTAGAATTATTGGGTTTGAAAGAAGATACTAGTGGGCTAGCCATGGCCTCTGGTGAAGGGAGGCGGCATCATCATGATCTTGTGCCTCTCGCTGCGTTGTTAAGCAGGGAGATGAAGACTGAGAAGATGGAGAAGCCCACTGTGAGTTATGGACATGCTGCTCAGTCTAGGAAAGGGGAGGATTACTTTCTAATTAAGACCGATTGTCAGCGAGTACCTGGGAATCCCTCAACATCATTTTCTGTGTTTGCGGTAATTTCACCATCTATATTGGACACTTTCTCTTGAACTGTACATCACAGTATGACATCAAGGAGGAAAAAAATTTCCTAATTTTTCGACTCTGAGATGTTCCAACTACTTTTCTTGTTGCGTGCTGATTATTCTTTCGATATTTAATACATAAGATAGCTGCTGATTTCTTCCGATCTTCAGATCTTTGATGGACACAATGGAAATGCTGCGGCCATTTTCAGCAGAGAGCACCTGTTAAATCATGTGTTGAGTGCTGTTCCTCGAGGTCTGGGACGGGATGAATGGCTTCAAGCTTTACCTCGGGCCTTGGTAGCTGGGTTTGTGAAGACTGACAAGGAATTTCAGAGCAGAGGTTTGGAATTTAGCATTTTTTCCATTAAAACAATTCATGTAGAGGAAGTATATGCCGAAAGTAAGATGAGTTTGATCTTTTGTTCTTAACTAATTGTATGTGTGCTTCACTGGTTTTCTCCAGGAGAAACTTCTGGAACTACAGCCACATTTGTGATAGTTGATAGATGGACAGTCACTGTGGCATCTGTTGGTGATTCCCGTTGTATATTAGACACCCAAGGCGGAGCTGTTGCAAACTTAACTGTTGATCACCGGCTTGAAGAGAATATTGAAGAGTATGTGTCTAATTTTTAAGTTTTCGTTGATAAACTATTCCTTTATGCACTTGCTAATCACAAATTACTACATGTTTTTCACAGGAGGGAACGTGTTACAGCTAGCGGAGGTGAAGTAGGGAGGCTGAGCATTGTTGGTGGTGCAGAGGTGAGCATAGCATCTCAGATCTCCTCCCGTCTTTTTCAAAAGAGAGAAATTAGGAACGGAAAACTCCTTTGTGTTATTTTTTTGACCATCCTTCCATGATTATTTTAACTGTAGTGTTAATTCATTGTAGATTGGTCCCCTTCGTTGTTGGCCAGGCGGTTTGTGCCTTTCTAGGTCAATAGGAGACATGGATGTTGGGGAGTTTATAGTTCCAATACCGTATGTCAAACAAGTGAAGGTATCATTTGTTTCCTTCTCGTCTCTTCTACCTACAGTTTTGACTATAAACCCTTAGCGGACATACTGCTATGTCTGTGTCAATCTTCTGATGAACCTGACCTTGACATGTTATAGCTATCAAATGCTGGCGGGAGGCTTATAATTGCTTCTGATGGCATCTGGGACGCTCTATCCTCAGACATGGCTGCAAAATCTTGCAGGGGTTTGCCAGCTGAACTTGCTGCTAGGCAGGTTGTCAAGGTAATGTACATAACAATGCTTCCTGCTGGTTCTGTTTAAATTTAAATCAAAATTCCTTCTTTGCCTTTTGATTTGACAGAAGCTTCATGCACAGCAATATTAACATTTCATGTCATATAAGCTTAAGTCTCTACATGCTACTACTCTTATTCAGGAAGCATTAAGAACAAGAGGGTTAAAGGATGACACAACTTGCATAGTCGTTGACATAATTCCTCCTGAAAATGTAATGCCACCGCCACCTCCCCCAAAAAAGAAGAACAAGTTGAGGGCTCTGCTTTTCAGGAAGAAGTCTCGTGATGCTGCTGGTAAGCTATCAAAGAAGCTTTCGGCTATAAATATAGTGGAGGAACTATTCGAAGAAGGATCAGCTATGCTTGCTGAAAGGTAATGTCTTTCCCTTTTCAATACTATCAATTCACTAATTAAATGGTGTACAAATTTTGTTGTGGCAGTGCCCTGCCTTTTGATTGTTGTTCAAAGTAGAGGGTAATATTTATTTAATACAATGATCTAAAAATACAGAGATAAAGGCGGGTGGGTGAATCATGGCTGGCTTTTCCCTGGTATTTCATCATGGAAGCTAATGCATGTACTCTGTAATTTATACCGTAAGGTTACCTATTGGTTTGGGTATAATGCCATAATGGCATGACACGAAATATTATTTGTTGCCCAAGACTAAAGATTTTACATTTATAATTTCTCTTATTAAGTTCATTCATATATATGAGGAAAAAGTAGATTTTAGTTCATAATAATTTGAATAGTTCTGGTGGCCAAAATTAAGATTAACTGACTATGTGAGGTTCTATACAGGACTGTAATTTCAAGTTTTCTTTGTCAATAATGCAAAAAAGCCATGGAATATTGATAACATACTAGGATTTGATTTGATTTCGTTTGAATCAGTTCCTTGTTCTTATCTTCTGTGAAGGATTCTATTTGAACGTATGAAAAATTGAGAACTGTTTGCTTATTCCAAATGGAAAATGGAAACCCACATAACAAAACAACTATATATTTTTTAGGCCATCACATCCAAGCTACTATTAACTAAAGCATTTGAAAACAATTTCTTAGATTTGCAAAATATTCTCAATGAAATGTTGTCAACCCCTCACGAATCTGGGGGTACTAACACGGCATGTGTCTGATCCAAACTGCATTCGTATGTGACATCGGTTCAGGAACTTGTGTATTTTGCTATAGCTCTTATAGACAGAATTATAGCGCATGGCTTTAGAAACATCTATTACATAACACCCTGTTTCCAATTAAATATGTTCGCTCTCTGATTTCTCCTTAGGATGCCTTTCTCTATACAGCTTTGCATGCCATCTCAAAATATGCCAGTAATTGTGGTTTTCTTCTTGTCTAGAAGCAATAATATAGAGATATATTTTATCTCCCCCCCCCCCTCCCTGTTGGATAGCTGTTACAGAACTCAGGTTATGTTTATTCTTGCAGATTCTCCTATATTAAACACTTTTCTGATTATTTCATGCAGATTGGGGAATAATGAGAATACAGGGCAATCAACGTCAGGTCTCTTTATCTGTGCTGTGTGCCAAGTCGATCTTGCCCCAAGTGAAGGCATCTCTGTTCATGCTGGTTCAATCTTCTCCACCAGCTCAAAGCCCTGGCAGGGCCCTTTTCTATGCGCCGGTTGTCGTGATAAGAAGGATGCCATGGAAGGGAAACGTCCTAGTGGAATCAAAGTGTCATAGGTTGCTTAACTGATGATTTCATTATCCCTATTCTTTATGCCGCCATTATTATTCATTTTTGTTTTTATTTTTGTAGCAGCCATATTTGTTCATTTATCAAGTAGTTACCTGATCATCACTGTCAAGTGGCAACAGAATGTGTATCTAATATTCACAAAATAATGTAAGATGGGCATTGCGTTTTTAATATAGCAAAGGCTCAGGGAGAACCTGGTACTGAGTTTTCAGGCATCAGCAAATGGCTTTCAACTTTGTTTGATTGGTAAAGCTGGATGCTTGGAATCAATACTGGGTATATTCTTTTGCATGGTGTTTATTTTTGTATTGCTTGGAGAACTAAAAAGAACAACTTTGGAAGCTTAAAGGCGTTTATGCTCTCCACTAGAATTATATGAGAAGGAACTTTTTCTTAGCAAGAATCGCTGATGTGGTACCCAGTCGTAAGTCGTCCCCTTGTGGCTTAGTGAATAGTGAGAGAATCAAATAGTGAGGCCCTGAAAAAAACATTTCACTGCTGATGATGCTGCGTAAGGCACAAATTTGTCTTTTCCAAATTCGATTTTTTAGCAGATCACTTGTCCAATAGTAACAACAAAGTTAAATTCTTGAGTGGGTATCAACTATCAAGGTATTGAAAATTAGATCGTTGATGGCCGAAACAGTAATTTAAAGGTCAGTGATCTAAATTGTGCTTGAATTCGAGCAATCTTTCTACGATTAAAATATTATAATTTAATTTAAATATACAAAAATATTCATATATAATTCTGAAGACCAATAATCTATAAGAAAATGGAACATAATAAAATTGAGTTATTAAAGTATACATATGACAATCTGTTGTTTATAACTCAAAATAATGATGTCATTTCAGACTGAGCAAGTGAAAAAAAAAATTATAAAATTTATTAGGCTAATACAATTTTTAATTCCTCAAGTTTGTCATCATTTTGATTTTAGTTTTTTAAATTTCAAATAATAGGTTCTGATCCTTTAAGTTTTTTTTTTAAATTTAAAGCATTGGTCCTTATAACTCAATAAAAATCTAGATTATTTTACGTATTGAGGGACGAAAACTTATGGTTTAAAACCTAAGGGGCTAAAATGAGGATAAATTTAAAAGATCAAAGATTATGGAAAAAATTGTAATAAAGTCCCACTCAAAAGAATTAAATACAAAAAGATCTTTTGAAATTATCAAATTATTCCAAAGTCTCAAGAACCTTATTGCAAGAGATTTTATTTATTTAATTACCACATTGTCCTTTTTTTTAATTATGCATTAAACTGTCATTAACAATTTAAAGTATAACGATTAACAACTATTGTGGCAAGTATTAACAACACATTTTTCCCAACACATTACAAAAATGTAATACATGAGTTGTCAACATCTGCCGTGATAATTGTTAATCGTTATACTTTAAGTTATTAATGTATACTTTTTTTTAAAAAAAAGATAAGGGCAATTTGATAATTAAGCAAATAAAATTTCTTGCAATAAGGTCCTTTGAAACTTCAGATTAATTTGATGATTTCAATAGACTTTTTTGTATTTAATTCTCTTAAGTGGGACCTTATCGCAATTCTCTCAAAATTATGTTAAACCAGGTCTATTTTATCAGTTCATTCAAAACTTTTGACCAAACTGACTAAAAGATTGGTTCATTAGTTGACTGGTTTTACCCACCAACTGAATTGAGTTTTAATATCATGATTGTCATATCTCCTACTTTCACGTAGACATAGATACAAATAATGTACTGCTTTTTCTCTCTTGGGGTTAATCCGTTTATAATTGTTAAGCATTCAAATCCAGGAGAGCATGCTCCCCAGTATCACAAAATTCGTATAAATAAAGGTCAACTTAGGTGAGGCTTGGGAAACATTTAAACTTGATGTTCATGCTTTAAAGTTATCCATCACTCATTTCTCCCCTTTTGTTCTGTTTTCCTTCGGATTCATCAGAGCTGAATTGAAGGGCTGCCTACCTCCTTGGCTCTTGCAGGCCTACTCTGTCAAAAATTACAGAGCAATGAAATTTAGTGCCTTGATAATGTCATTAACACAACTTTGCAGTTGAGTTCCAAAAAATTTTCTGCATTCAATGGAATAAAGAGGCCGCAAAATTACAAACATCAACAACAGTAAGCTTGAGAAGGCTTATTTTCCGCACCACTTCAAAAAAAAAAAAAAAAACCTCATCTTCATCCATAAGAAACTGCTCCCAAAATGTTTGAATTACGAAGTAGACAAGGATTTTTTTTTTTAAAAAAATATTATAGTCTTAATCATTTTAAAATATTAAATATAAATATAAATTACATTTGCTTGTTATAGACGATTCAAAGGTTGAAAAGTAGAAAGCAATATAGAAGGGGAAGAAATAAACAAGTCAGTTTCAAGTCGAACACACACCATTTTATAATCCATGAGTCTTTGCCACTTAATGACAGTTCAGTTCAAACCCTCATAAACTTGATTTTTCTTATTTTGTTTAAGAATCTAATCTAATGTAACATATGACATCTAGTACTTATTATAAGATCCAGTTGACCAATTTGAAAAGATTAAAAAAACTAAATAAATTACTTAATTATAACATATGTTTCATAATCTCTCTAAAATACTTTTATATATCATTGAATTATACATCAGTTTATAAGTTAAGAAAATTAGTTTAGATAAAAATAATAAATATAATACGTTAAAAATAATTTATTTAGCTTATTTAACCTCTTCGAATTAATCAATTAAGTTGTATATTAAGTAGCGGAGGTGCTATATACTAAGTCTAGCAAGAAGCTATTAACTTTGTGTTTGGTTCAACATATGGGAGCGAAGAGGAAAGATCTTAATAGAGAAAAAAAAGGAGAGAAATTTCACGGGAGAATGGATGCTCAAATTTCAAAATAAAGTTAGATCAGGTTGACATTTTATATGTTTGGTTTGGATTAGTCTGCAGTCCATCATCCTGGAACATAATTTTCCAACGAGAGATTTATCCTCCTCCCCTAAAATCTTTCTCGATCGTTATAATAGACCAAGTCAGAACTAAGACTTTTCTCATCATTTTTCCTTGACTTAACATGCGCGTTCTTTATTTCCTGGTTGAAAGCTGCATTGACCGTACCTTAATGCCAGGCACCTAAATTTGCTCATTTCCTTCCTTTGATCGATGTTCGCTGGCACAGTCCAGGTCAAAAAAATAATTTTCTACAACTCTTCTGCACTTCTCTCTTCTTCCTTTGATCCCTCTTAAGCAAATTATCAGTTCAATTAGATTCGGTTGTTAAATCAGTAAATAAGTTTCAGAATGATTTCAGTTCAAGTTTTTTGCTCTCTCTTAGTTTCATTCCTCTTGCACCTGGTCTGGGTTGGATATGCAAAGTGCCCACCTTCATTTTACTGTGGAGATCTGGGCAACCAAATTCAGTTTCCTTTCACCACATCAGATCACCCAGATTGTGGCTTATTGGCCATTCATGGCTGTTATGAAGGAGACCCAGGTGCCAAAAAAACCATTAAGTACAGTGGAAAATGGTTTGATGTAACAGAACTCGACCTGTCTACCATTACCATCAGAGACGATCATCTCCACGACCTCTTGCTGGTAAAAAGCTGTAGTGTCTTCACCTATGATCTTTCTTTCATCACAAACTCTTCTTTTGCTTCTTATCATTTAAAAAATAATTTCACCATGTTCGTCTGCAACAACCGCCTCAATCTGAATCCTGCGGAATCGTCATTGTACTATAACCATCGTTTTGATAACTGCTCTCAAGAAATCTTCTACAGAAAGTCACTTTCTTATCGTGAGGGCTCTGATGATTATTTGGTCTCCAGATTTTTGAACTCGTGCACGCCTGTTGATCTTCCAATCGCGAAGGACGCTGAGGTTGTCGATAATCCTTTTGCCTTCCTGTCGGAAAATATCACCATCGGTATACAGCCATCTCCTGCTTGTGATAGTTGTCACAACTTTTATGGAGGAAAATGTCAAGCTGACTCCAAGGGCAGGTTTTATTGTGCTAAAGGTACCATTTTGAATTGTTCAAGTATCTGAACTACTTGTTGTGGCTTCGTCTTCTGATGGTATTTTTCTGGTTTTTATTGCAGAGAAATCAAGAAAGGTCAGAGTTATTGTGGCAGCAGGTAAAAAATTTACCAAATACATATAAAGCAAAGCAACTCAAATCAAAATTCTGCAGATTAAGAGGATTCTGATTTTTTTTCCCTACTCTGCAGCAGTTTCAGCCACTGGGGTAGTGGGACTACTTCTGCTTTTGGGATTCTACTTGAGAAGACGCTTTTACAGCAGGCAAGACCAGACCCACATAATAATTGAGCAGTTTCTTGAAGAACATGGACACCTTGCAGCCAAAAGGTATAGTTATTTGGAGATCAAGAAAGCCACAAACTCCTTCAAAAACAAGTTGGGTCAAGGAGGATTTGGCAGTGTGTACAAGGGCAGGTTAAGTGATGGAACTCTTGTGGCAGTGAAGGTTCTGACTGAACTGAACGGTGATGGAGAAGAATTCATCAATGAAGTTTCCAGCATTAGTGTGACTTCTCATGTCAACATTGTTAGCTTATTGGGTTTTTCCTTGGAGGGTTCAAAAAGAGCTTTGATATATGAGTACATGTCCAGTGGATCAATTGACAAATACATACAAAACCAGGCAGATCCATCAAAGATCAATCTCCAACTGACCTGCAAAGCTATATACAATATTGCAATCGGTGTTGCTCGAGGATTAGAGTACCTGCACAGAGGCTGCAACACTAGAATCTTGCATTTAGACATAAAGCCTCACAACATTTTGCTCGACGATGATTTCTGTCCTAAGATATCAGATTTTGGACTGGCAAAAATCTGTCCGAAGAAAGATAGCATTGTGTCATTGTTAGGCGCGAGAGGAACTGCAGGATATATAGCACCAGAAGTGTTTTCTAGGAACTTTGGTGGGGTGTCCCACAAGTCCGATGTTTATAGTTATGGGATGATGATGTTGGAAGTAGTTGGAGGAAGGAAGAAAATGAAGATGGAAGTGGAAGAAGGTTCAGGTGAAATATTCATGCCACATTGGATTCACCAGTGCTTGAAATCAAAGCAGGAGCTGAGATTGGAGTGCATCAAGAATGAGGAAGATAGAGAGGTGATAAGTAAGATAGTGATAGTGAGCTTATGGTGCATACAGATTGAACCTTCAAATCGGCCGGCGATGAAGAAGGTGGTGGATATGATGGAAGCAGACTTGGAATCGTTGGAATTACCACCTCTGCCTGTTCTTTCTTTGCCTCCGTCATCTTCCTCTGGGACTGTTTCAGAGAGTCCTATCTCGGGCAGCTTCCATTCTATATCACTTTAGTTCCTAGTTTGTAGCATGTTGCAATTTTGTCATGTTGCTTTCTTAGATATAAAATCAGAGGTCTGGTCAAAAAAAAAAAAATCAGAGGTTTTAGCTTTGGGGCCTGGAAATATCAGTGTTTCATAGTTTTCCTGGACCTGTTAATTGTTTTATTTTTAAAGAACTAGGTTGTTCAGTTGAAATTGAAATGCCTTGTTTGGAGGCCCAATTTCACAAGTTCTATAAAACAGAGACGGCCACAGAACTCAGGATACTATTCCCCCCCCCCCCCCCCAAAAAAAAACTACTTGGTTTTTCCAATCTCCTTTTATCAGAAATGCAGTAGTTCTTTTGTCTAAAACCGAAAAGATAGCTGAGAGACTCGGACGTATTTTCTAAAAGGAAAAGGATGCTGACGAGGCTTAATGAATGAATTTTTTGGGCATAAAAAACCATTCAAATAATATTGGATCACCCAATAGTATGTGGTCTAATGACATATAAAAACTTTCTGAAAATAAGAGATTGTGAGTTAAATTTCTCTTAATCTCAGTTCATTAATATTTATCTCTTTTAACCAAAAAAAAAAAAGCATTGGATAAGCTTGAATTATATTAATAATTATTTACAACATTTTCTTAGCAGGAAAATTAGCCATAAATACTTCTTTGAGGAAGTAACCGTTCCACGATTCTGAATTCAACGTTATATGCTTTTATGCATAAAAATTACTGAGGACGTCGGCCATTGGGAAGTAATTCTCCAAACAATATTTATGGTCTTTTAAACTATAATTTTATATAAATAAATAAATTTTAATTTTAGTCTCTCAAATTTTAAATCACATGTTTTGATTTTTCAAGGAACAAAATGATCTAACTTTTTATTAAATTATGGAGATAAATATTTTAAATGAAAAAAAATTTGAGAGACCAAATAATTTAAAATTGGAAAAACTAAAATTAAAACTAAAACAAACTTGAGAACAAAAACTTGTATCTAACACTAAATTTTTTTTGTTACATTTAGGTATTTTTTTTATTAGTATTGTCGGACACTGATACTCCCCTGAGCATAAATTTAAATACTTCTCCGGTCCTAAATTAGTATCTCTTTTATAGTAGTATATTATAAAAAAGATATTATATTTAAGACTGAAGGAGTATTAGTTCATCAAACTATAGGGAAAACCAATTTCACTGGAACTTAGAACTCTAAATTTTAATTAAACATTGGGGGATCCATCGCTCTTCCAAAGACCAAACATCCCATTTTCTGTTCGCTGCAATGCAAAGCTCTTTCGGCAGAGTTTCTGGACCTCCCTTCCACTGCCAGCTTTAATAGTGCTATTATTTTATTTTATTTAATATTAAAACACATTCTCCACTGTAAATAATAATAAATTATTTGTATAACTTTGACTAATTTCGCCGTTTAAGACCCTTCATTCTATTATTAATTGCTCTTTCATTACACACAAAACCACGTCACTCTCTCTCCCCCTCCCTCGCTCACCTCGCTCCTTATCTCCCCCCTCCTCCGCCTTCTCCCCCTTGTCTCTGCTTCTGTAACTGCAACAATGGCGGTATCCTCTCGCCTCTTTCTACTTGTTTCCTTCTTCTTCTTCTTCTTAGTTTCTCATTGTCTTCTTCCCTCTGAAGGGTCCATAAACCGTGATTTAGAAGCTCTCATGGCGTTCAAAGCGGCTTCTGATACGCACAACAAGCTCACATCTTGGAACTCCAGCACCCACCCCTGTAACTGGGTCTTTGTCTCATGCCTCAAGAATCGAGTTTCGCGACTCGTTCTTGAGAATCTCGATCTCCATGGTTCCATCGAGCCGTTAACCTCTCTGACTCAGCTTCGAGTTCTGAGCCTGAAGCGAAACCGTTTTTCCGGTCCCATTCCGAGTCTGTCTAATTTTACAGCTCTGAAGCTTCTGTTTCTTTCTCACAATGAGTTCTCTGGTGCGTTTCCGGTGACGGTTACGTCGCTTCTCCGCTTGTATCGCCTTGATCTCTCTCACAACAACTTGTCCGGCGACATTCCGACTACGCTCAACAATCTGACTCACCTGCTCTCCCTCCGTCTCAATGACAACCAGTTCTCCGGTCACATTTCCATTCTAAACCTCTCCAAACTACAAGACTTCAATGTCTCCGGTAATCACCTTTCCGGCGAAATACCCAAATCAGTCTCGGGTTTCCCCGCATCATCGTTCGCTCAAAACCCATCTTTATGCGGAGCTCCATTGGTGAAATGTAAGGACGTCCATGCTGTACCGATTCAACCCGGATCTGTAGGAGCCAATATTTCATCGCCATTGATGCCGCAAAGCAGTCCTTCAACGCCGGCGAAGAATGCAGCGCCCGAAACACCATCTAATAACGCTCACCACCATCATAATGGAGCTTCGAAAATGAGACCAGTAATTCTGATAGCCATTATAGTCGGCGACGTCTTGGTTCTGGCTATAGTGTCCCTTCTTCTGTACTGTTGTTTCTGGCAAAACTACTCAGCAAAATTGAGAGAAGGAAACAGGTCGAAGCTTCTGGAAAGCGAGAAGATCTTGTATTCATCAAGCCCATACCCATCAACCCAAGCCGGATTAGAGAGGGGTCAAATGGTGTTCTTCGAAGGGATGAAGAAGTTCGAGCTAGAGGACTTGCTTCGAGCTTCTGCAGAAATGTTAGGGAAAGGCGGGTTCGGGACGGCGTATAAAGCCGTTCTTGATGATGGTAATGTCGTGGCAGTGAAGAGGCTCAAGGACGCTCTGATTAATGGGAAGAAGGAGTTCGAACAGCACATGGAAATACTGGGAAGATTAAGACATCCCAATATTGTAAGCTTGAGAGCTTACTATTATGCTCCAGACGAGAGATTGCTGGTCTACGATTACATGACCAATGGTAGCTTGTTTTGGCTCCTTCATGGTACGTTCTTCGCTTGAAAATGAAATCTTTAAATTTACTTAGCTGCTAATAATGTGGTTTATATAATATAACAGTGATTTACCATTCTCAACTGATGAATAGTGCTTTCATTTGCTGTGTCGGCTCTATTCTGCTAGCAGCCGAACATGCATTAGAGAACTAGCCAACTGAGCCAGGCAACGTTGTTGATCCTAATTACACCTATAGGGTAGCTAGATGTGTTCCTCTAAGATTAGAGCAGTTCTTGAATTGGAGAGGATCAAGCCCATGTCCCTTTAATATCTCTTGACGATAAGGTCATTGGCTAGAGTAGAGCAGCTTTAAACTGTGAAGTTGGACCATTTGAGGGAGGATGGCTTCTTTAGGATACAATATCTGGGAATTGCAGGGAAAAGAACTGTTAGATTAGCAGAATCTGCAGATATTATAACCATCTGGGAATTTTCGTCACTGCACTATCACTTTACAGACTGTACACCGTGCTAGGTTGGACTTGCAGCCCTGTTCATAAAAAATACGATACATTACTGTAGAATAAGTCAATCCAATAGTTTCCGTTCTGCTTCCTCTGGATTTCCCAGTAGCCGAGAAGGAGGGTCTATCTATTGAGCTGGCTGGACCTGTGGGGCCCATTTAAGGCAGTTTCAACTTCAAACCCTGTAGTTGGACCATGTGGTCATTGTGGGTGAGTTATTATTTATATAGTACAAAAGACAAATGTAAATGCGTGTCACCAAAAAAAAAAAAAAGACAAATGTAAATGCGAATATCAGAACATCCGGAGATTCCTCCTCTTCCATTACTTTTACTTTTATTATAGAAATAGAATATCTAGATATTGCAAACAAAGCAACTGTTAAAATTTGCAGAAGATTGGGATCACTGTATTCATATTTTTAAGCTCCAGACGCTGCCCTTTTAGAAAGAAAATTACAAAGCACTTGTCTTTTTCTTCCCCATTTGCTTTTTGTTCTTTATCGTCAACAAAGTGCTTAAGTGGGCCCCGATATTATTCTGATTTCTTTCTGATCCAGAAACTGGAAAAAATAAACAGATAATGTCAAATGCGTAATTACTGAGAAATTAATGGGTGACTTGGTATGTCCGACAGGGAACCGAGGACCCGGAAGAACCCCACTTGATTGGACCACAAGGCTTAAGATAGCCGCCGGAGTGGGCCGAGGCCTGGCCTTCATCCATGGCTCATGTAAGGCCCTTAAGCTCACCCATGGTAACATCAAGTCCACCAACATCCTCATCGACCAGGACGGGGACCCACACGTGGCAGACTTTGGGCTGTCCGTTTTCGCAGCACCCGCCCCCAGATCTAACGGCTATCGTGCACCGGAAGCACTGGATGGTAGGAAAAACACGCAGAAATCCGACGTATACTCTTTCGGTGTTCTTCTCCTGGAGCTTCTCACAGGGAAGTGCCCCTCCTTAGGGGAATCGGGTGGGCCCGGAGGAGGCGGGGCCGCGGACCTACCCAGGTGGGTCCAATCGGTGGTGAGAGAGGAATGGACGGCTGAGGTGTTCGACATAGAGCTGATGAGGTACAAGGACATTGAAGAGGAGATGGTAGGGCTGCTTCAGATCGCCATGTCTTGCTGCGCGGCTGGGCCAGATCAACGGCCCAGGATGAGCCACGTGGTGAAGATGATCGAGGACATACGCGGTGTTGAGATATCGCCGAGTCATGACACGTCGGACTCGGTGTCTGAGTCGCCGTCCTTGTCGAGCTAGCTGGTGATGGCAAATGTGGAATGGAGAGGGTTCGTGAATTCAGGGGAGGGGTTAGGAGGTTTTAATTTTAAAGTGAAAGATATTTGTTTCTAAAATGTATTGACTTGAATTGGTAGATATGATAGAAATTCATTGAATTTAGATAAGTCATGAACCAAATTGACGTTCTTCACTTCTTCGAGATGCCGTTATTGACTGGGAAGATGTATTGCGTACAGGCTTAAAATTAAAAAAAAAAAAAGAATAAATAAATTTTTTCTTTCAAAAAAGCAATTTGAAGTGTCCCCTTTTTCTCGTCCAATTTGGTCACACGGCCGGGGGCCAAGTTCTTGGGAAGATTGCAATCAGGTTTCAAGAGAGAAATTTGATTCCTCTACAGGTTGTTAATACTCCTTCGATTATTAATATAAGAGCTATTTAACTAATTTGATTATATTAAAAAAGTCAGGTAAGTTAGTTAATTATAAGAAAAGTGACACATTTTTTCCTAAAATACTATAATCATCTTTCTTAATACATCATCTTTCTCTTCTACTTAATTATAGTTGAGAGAGTATTTATAAGGGTGATTTAAAAAAATTAATAAATATAATAAATGAGTCTTATATTTAGAATCAAAACTAACTAAAAAATTGAGTCTTATATTAAGAACCAGAAGAGTAATTGAGAAACAGGTAATAACAAATTTTAGAGTAAGAAATAACAATTGTTTTACATTGCTTACTTGTTATTAAGATTTTTTAATTTAATAATTAAATTCTTTTTTTGATATCCCATTATAATTCTCCCTGAATTCTTCTATGAGATTCAAGTGAGCTTCTTGCCACTTCATGTTGTATGATTGAATAAAGTTTGTCATATTATGCGATCACGTAACATTAGGCAATCTACAACATAATAATAAACAAAATACGTAGTTTTTCATGACAAATAAATAGTGAATTTTTTTATGGGAAAAAATTGAATAAAAATTCTGGTATTATATGGTAAATAGAGATAAATCTTATTTATTCGACTTTATCGAAGATTTATATAGGTGTATTGTTATAGCTTATAGATAAATGTAAATAGATTTATTGTTAGACCAATTTATATATAGATTTACTTGTAAATATAAACTCTAGCCTTCTATTTATATAAAAGTAAATAAGTGATTCAGTTGATTGTCATTGTTATCGTTACCTGTTTAATTACCACATAAAGAAAAAAACTAATATTTTACGTCTTTTGAAACGCGAAGAAATTTACTGAATCGTTACAAAATTAAAACACGTCACTAAAGTACCAAATAAATCCATCAAATTTGGGATAATTTTCTTTAAATAAAGTTATTAAAGCCCCATACGACATCTCAGTTAATAGGTAGGTATAAAGACACAATAAACCAACTATATCCTAACTTCAAACTATCAAATGAAACAATAAATGGCTTAAGTGATTTTTTGACAATTGATTTAAACACATTCCCACACAAATATATTAATACTGATTTTGAATTCAAACCTCATCCGAACATGATAGTTAAATTTAATTCTAATTTTAAATAGAGTCAAATGAAACAATCATCTGAACATGATAGTGTTAACAACACTGAATTTGCAAATAACAAAAAAATTTTGTTGACATTATTTATTTGATATTTATAAATTTTTAACTTTTTTTTATTTTTCTCCTTAAATATATTCACGTACACAAACATGTTGATACTGAACTTAAATTTCCAACCTCATCTATGCGTGACAGTAACGCTGTCGTTGAGACAAATTTGTTGTTGACGAGGTTTTAGCAACATAACCTTTCATATACATTTGTGCTTCTTCTTCTTCTTCCATAAGTAAATATAACGTTAGTATTATGTATCCTCAGAATTGCATAACCTTAGGAGCAAATCTAAGAAGTCTGCTTAATGTGTCAGGCAAGAACTTCCTGGCAAAGAGGTAACACACATTGCTATCCTCAACCCCATTATATTCACACGTTGTGTTCCTCAGGGCCTTCAAGAACTCAACGGTGACGTAGTTCCTGGCCAACCTTGCCGGATGGGGCCCACCCTTTGACCAGTCAACCCAGGTCAACGTCCGGTTGGAGTTAATGCTAGCGTGCTTCATGGTCACGAACGTCGGCAAGTAGTGCTCGTCGGCGTAACACGACCGCTTGCAGTAATGGTGGAACACCGGGAAGTAGGTACTGTCGGAGACGACGGCGAGGGCGAGTTCCCGGTCCATTTCGAACCACTGGGAGCCCTTACGCCATTGGTCGACGGTGATGAGGGGGAGCATGCGGGGGCTGTAGCGGCCGCGTCCCACCGCAGAATGCTCGTCGTAGGACATGACGTGGCTGACGGAGGAGTTCATGAGGTAGGAATAGACGGTGGAGAAGTTGAAGAGAGGAATGCAGGATTCCGATAACAGCACGAAACGTTGGTTCCAAACGTCAAGCAGTGCGTTTGCTAGTAAACGACGCTCCGCTTCGACCATGTTCACGCTTCCCCATTTCACTTCCTGCGTTTTGTGCATAAATTAAATTAAATATTGTTTCCAGAAATTTTAACTTTTTTGTTTTATAGACTATGACTTCTAAGGCATGATATGAGTAGAAATGACAAAGTGTTATACAGTTTATTTTTGGAGAAAATTGATAAAAAAAAAATCCTAATTAATTAGAAAGTTAATTGCGCAAGGACAGCTAAAAAAAATCAAATTTTTTAGTTCAGTTGTATGCAATATATTTTTCATCATGTACAGATATTTTTTTTTTTGTTTAGCATCTAGTTAAAAGCAAATTGCACATAATTAAATAAGAGTTGTATCTATAAAAATATGTCACACTTTTTAGGACTGAAAAAAAGTGTGTTACGCTTGGTTCCCTCTACTTTTTAAACTTCATGCAAAGTACATTAAAAAAAGAAAAGTCAAGAAAGGGGGGAGCAAATTGAATTTACACCTAACACTTGTTCACTACTCCAATATCAGCTCAGACTCTCCCTCTCCTTCTTCCGTTTTGCTATATCTCATTTCTACTTCCTCTGTTAAGCAAGGCCCCTACTCTTCTAAATTAGGCATTAATTAGGTACTTTCTGATGCTATAAAAAAAAAAACCCTTGATTAATCTGTTCTAGAATCATATTCAGAAGTCAGGTCAAAATTGAAACAAACAACGAACAGAGCAAGCAAGAACCAGACTAACCTTACTGGGAATTCTGCGACCATGGAAGACTGGACTTTCAGGGTCTGATCCATTGTACGAAGGATTCGAATGGACGTAAATTGAGTAATACTTTTCATGGCCTTTGAAGAACTTTTCCCACAAGGGAGCCAGAAACACAGGGCCTCTCGTCAAGAACATGAAGGCCACTTTAGGAGTTCGATTAAAAGGATATTCTTTGATCTTCGGAGCCATTGAAGCTCTCCATAGAAGCTCTTTATCGTCCATGTCGTGCATCACAGCCGGCGGCTTCAAATAGTTCTTCAGCCCCACGTGAGTCTCGTCGGAAATTTCAGGCCTTGGCGGTGCGGAAATTTCAGAGACTGAGAGACGAGTGAGTTGCAGGTTCAAGTTGCAACCTTTGATGTAGAAACTCAGAATGATTCCCAGAGTTATTCCACAGCCTAACAGACCGAAGTAGGATAGAAAATGGAGAATTTGGAATTGAGGGTTGAAAACTTTGGAAACAGAGTATGACGAGTACTGGGAATTTGATGAGGTCTTCATGGTTGTCTGGGTAACTGGGTATATGAAACAGAAAAGAAAGGGAAATTCTTGAATTCTGTTATCTGGGTTTATGAAAAACAAGAATCAAAGAGACCCTAGAAGGAGGGAGGCTTTCTCGTTCATAAGAATTGGACTGAGTCGGTTGCAGCTAATGGATGATCAAACAATGGCTTTTTGTAGGGATGACGACGAATCTTTAACGAGAAGATGTACAGATAAAAATGGCGCTGAGAAATAAATAATGGGCTTTTGTTCTCGCAAAGAAAATATCTAAGAACAAATAAGGAGATGACGAGGAAGCGAGAAACGAGAAAGGATTTAAAAAGGGATTTGAACTGAAAGTTTGGTGATGGAGAAAGAAAGGAAAAGAAGACAGCTTTTAAGAGTCCAGAGGATGAAGACAAATCCATGTGTTTTGAAGATGGCTTTCAAAGAAGGCAGGGGAAGGCGAAGGAGGCTCCCTCTCTTTCTGACTCACTTTATGTCTATTTTTGAAGCCCCCTTTTAATATTTTTTAAATTAACTATCTTAATATATTTAATAATTTTTATTAAATATAACAGCTTTGCGAATTAATTTCTTGCAAGAGATGGTCTTCCTGGTTTTCCAAGATCCAATGGAAAACGGTATTCCACCATAACGTGTCCAATATAACAGCTTTGCAGATTAATTTCTTGCAAGCTATGATGAAATGAATTACAATCAAGCAAAAATTATAGGATCCAAAGATTAATTTTTCATTTTTTATTATATGTAGTTAGTTATATGGATTTAAGTTAATTTAATTTAATTAAGGAGGGTTAATGTGGATTAAAGGCGGAGATGAAGGTTACATGTGGACTTTTGAGAGAGAGATGTTTGTGAATTTTGGAAGAGCAGCCAATCCTATTCCTTCTTCCACACGTTTTTGACGTTTTTGGTTTACTTGTCTTCCTAAATTATTTTTTTAAAAAATATAATTATAGTAATTATAATTTATGAATCGTGTAATTTTCTCAATATTTTATGTTACGTATTGATAATTATGTGACCTAAAATGTTTAATTCATTATATGGTGTTTCGAGCCAGTTATTGTGTGGGATTAATTTTCTTATGCAGAATATAAAAAAATTATCACATGTGGTTTGTAAATTATAATTTTTTCGAAAGTTTTTTCAGAAAAGTTCGCAAATACTCATCTGGTCCTTAATATAAGACCCATTTAACTAATTTGATTAGATTAAGGAAGTTAGGTAAGTTAGTTAATTATAAGAAATGTGACACATTTTTCTTAAAATACCATAATCATCTTTTTAAATTAAATATGATTCCAGAAGTAATTTTTATTTTCTTAAAAAATACTGAGTATTCCTTAAAATGTATTTAAAGCAACAAACTTATTTGTTAACTAAAAAACACCTTCTTTAAACGAATAAATGTCAAAAAAAAAAAAATCAGGAGAGGCGTCATTACGAATCCGTCAAAGAAACGTTTTGTAAATTATCACCAAAATTTGTTTTTTGTGAATTCATTTATAACTAAATCAATTTCTGATTCTATTTGTTTTATTTTTCATATAAAATATTACCTCTGATCCTAATTATAAGAGTTAGTTAACTAATTTGAAGAGATTCAGGAAATAAGTTAAGCTGGTTTTTTGTAATAAATAAGTGTTGTCTTTCCTAAAATATCTTTACTAATCAAGTTTACTAACTAGAATTACTATTACTAGAAGGATTATCTTAAAAAAATATATAAATATAAGAAACAAAATAGATTGAGATTTTATAATTAAAACTAAAATAAAAATTAAATAAGATTTTATATTAAGAACCTGACGTAGTATTTTTCTAAGAAGCCTTTTTGGAAAAAACGTATGTTTGTCAAACTTTTAAAAATAACCAAAATAATATACAGAACCAATATTTTAAATATTTTTTTATTAATTTCTGGTACTGCCATGAATGACGGTGATTCAATGATTGGTCGTTAGTCGGTCAAAATATTTAGTTAAAATAATATTTTTTGCCTTCACGGCGTTATTCCTTTAGTATGCTGCAGTTGTAATTTAGCGGACTCAAGTAATATTAAAATTTTTTTAATAAAAATCTTACAAAAAAATAACGTTGCTTTGATTTTGTATTTCAGAGACGACATTTTACAACCTTAAATTTTTTATTACATGTGAAAAAACTTAAATAAGAAATTTAACAGTAGATGGATGTTGAACACGAATATCAATATAGCACGCCAAATTTATGGGTTTTTTTTAGGAAAAATAGTAAATAAAGATTCTAATATGTGAAATTGTTATTTGAGACTCTCAATTTGAAAATTGGCTTCACAAGACTCAGTTTCATATTGCAAATATGAAATCTTAGTCAAATATCTAAAACACCTCTCAGTCAAATTGTGATTTGGTCTATTGAAGTTGTCATTCGCTAAAGTAAAAATTTCTCATAGTTAACTTGTCATTTGACATACCTGAGTTGTGATTTCAGACATTTTACTAAGATTTTATATTTACAATACAAGATTGGGTCTTTTAAAGCCATTTTTCAAAATAAGAGTCTCAAATAACAATTTCACATATTGAGAGTCTTTATTTGCTATTTTTTCTTCTTTTTATTAAAAATAAAAAAATAGATGTTGGCAATGATAATAATAAAAAATACAATATAGAACGCCGAGAATGAAGGTTGATATTTGGCCAACTATAAGTTTGTTTTCAAGACAACTAAGAGCACATGGAAGCTTATTAATTGGAGACTTTGTTTCTTCTCTAAGCATTTTTCATTTTCTAACAAGTAAACCCAAAGACTGTGACTTGGAAAAATCAGGCAACTCACTGATAAGTGATAATTAAAGGTCAACTGAAAATACAATTCATAATTTTTTTTAAAAAAATCTAATTATTTTTTGAACAGGGAAAACAATATAAAAATATGAAGATACAATATAATAGCCCCATTTCAAAAACAGGGGCACCAGAGAGTGAAAAATAAATAAATATTGTCAGAAATACATAAAAAGAAAGCCAAAAAAATAATAATAATAACGCGATGACATTTGAATTGACAAGAGACCGCTGTTTGTTTTAACAAGGGGTCTTTCTGACAGGTAAAAATTGTCTGATGAGGAAATCAAATGCTTAACCTGGACAAATTTTTTGAATCAATTATCTGTGCAGCTGCAAAGTAGAAGACATAACTAAGTTGAGAAATATTTGACTTGAAAAATACACTCAATAATGATTGAAATGGCACGGAATAATTTTTTTGTTGGCCAAAATACAAATCACTCCCTTTAACTTTAACCCTATTGCACATAACCTCTTTCATCTTTAAAAGTTTAAAAATAACATCCTCAACTGTCAAAACTCACATTTTAACCCCTTACCGTTAAAGTGGGTGTTAAATTTAACAGAATGGATGCCGTTTCAGATTATTTAAAATTACTTGATAGATGATATGTAATTTTTATTATTTTGTTAATTTATTCCAACTTAAAATTTACAATTACACTTAAAGGTATTTTTGTGATTCTACTAATAGTAATCCCCAATTCTCAGTCTCCCCTAATCCTACCAACTTGCAGTGTTTTATTCTTCTCGACTCCAGAAATCGTCTTCACTCTTCACAATATAACTCTTCTCCCTTGGTTCTCATTAGCAATGTAACAATTCTATCAATTGATTGTCCTAAAAAAATGACGAAGTATAAATGATTTTCTCCATTATCTTTGTCTCACTGCTCCCAACAAAATTTTCAACGCACCAAAATTCACCGACTACAATCAAAAGATAGACAGAGAAGGAAGATAGTGAGCAATGACTATTGAACAACAACTGAGCGTGATCCATCTTTGAATCTTCGCTGGGTGGCTTCGTCTCCATTGAAAAAAAACAATTTCACAAAAAAAGATTCTAGATTTAAAAGAAGGATGTGATGACGGTGATTTTTAGAATGGAGAAGATGATTAATTAGAAGGTATTGCAAACATGAAGGACCTGAGAATTGGGGGAGACTGAAAGAGGAAGATGATTAGGTGAGTAAGACTAGGAATTAGGGATTATTATTGTAGAATCACAAAAATACCATTTAATATAATTATGATTTTTGAGTTAGGATAAATTAACAAAGTAATAAAGATTACATGTCATCTAATAAATAATTTTAAACAATCTAACATGACATCTATTCCGATAGATTTAATGGCTACTTTAACGGTAAGGGGCTAAATGTCAAGCTATGAAAGTTGAGGGTGTTATTTTTAAACTTTTAAAGATGAGAAATGACTGAATAAAATGAATAGTCTAAATTAAATGCCACATATTCAATTAAAATCCAACTTATGCTAATTTTAAATATATTTTTAATTTTTACTGGTTGTAAAGAGAAGAGAAAGTACATATACTACATTTGGTCGTAATTATAAGACCTTATTTGTAGTCACAAAGGAAGTCTTTATAATTAGGACTGGAGATAGTAACAAAGAAAAGATATATGATAAAAAGGAGTCCACCATCACATTTACGATAGAAAGAGATGATGAACAAATAAGGCTAAAGCCTAAAGGATGATTAATTAAAAGGCTAATGTAATTGTTAGCTCTGATGCTGTAAATTTCAAACTGAAAGCTTTGATCCTTTATGTTTATTTCGTCTGAAACTTTGGTACTTGTGTTAATGGTGTTAAGCTTGATGACATGTTATTAACGCCGTTTAATTTGGTAATCGGACATTGGATGTCAGGCAAAGGAGAGCTAATGAGGCTCAGAGGAGATTTGTTGAAGATGAGAGAATGTTTAGCTCTTACCTTCTTTGCAAGGCAAGGCGTTGATCCCCCATACTTGAAAGGCTTTGACTTGCTTCTAGTAGAAGTTCCTCCTCGTACATTGTGGGCAAAAGGTAGGTCAAAGGAGTGGTGAAGGATGCATAAGTGGAGATTATGTGACAATTCTTTTTGGTAGGAGCAAAATTATAGTAGAAGGTTTGTTAGGTGCCCAAATTATAAGGTCAGTGCCTTAGTGGATTATATGGGGTGTCGAGGATGCAATTAATTTGATTGGTTTGCTGAACCCATTGAGAATCCAACTTAGTAATGTAGCGTAAGGTGGAGAAGATAAAGGAAGAGAATGCTGATTTTTGAATCAGTCCAAAAAAAGAATGTTGATTTTTGAAGGAGGCTGAAATTTTTGAAACATGCAATATATGTAGTAGTGGCTGTTATGAATGTGCTTTAGTTTGGAATGTGCTGCATCTCATTGTGTAAAAGTTAGAAGGTGAGGTTGTATTTTAGAGTCTGATGTCGTATTTTAGTTGAAATTGTGTTAATATATATAACTTCGTGTTTTAAAAATATTTTGAAGGGATTCATGTTCATTTGGAACAAGAATTTGGTGTTTTTTTTTTTTTTTTTTGGGTTCGTTGTGTTAAACCAAAAGCAACAATGCCTACGTTGTAAATCTAGTACCAAGCGATGTTTTTGGTGACCACTACCCTTGGCTCTAAATATTAATGCCCAGCTGCTGAATCAAATTTCAGTTGAAACAATGAAACTTGAGATCACAAGAGCCCAGGGCCGAAAAACACGACATAAGGTCAGATGTAGCACACGGTCCGACGTAGCAAACGTCTCCTTTTTTAACACTTCTAAGGTAATACTAAATTTTTTTTAAAAAAAAAAAACTTCTAGATACCTATAATTTCTATGCAAAAATTTTTGAGGCAACATTAGACCGTAACTCACATTTTAAAAATAAAGTTTGGGTGATGTAACTTTTGATTTTAACAGAGATAGAGGTTAATATATGTCTTAAAAATAAAAATAATAATTTAATTATGGAATAGAAAGATAGTGTATTTTGCTCAAAATTAGAATCATTTTTTCATCAAAATTTTTTAAAGCATTTGCGACCCTGTTTTTTAAAATTAAATATTTTTCTTAAAACTCTCCATGTTGATTCTTTCAAAAATAAAAATTTTAATAGCAACTACTGAAACTTACTCTACATTTTCCCCACTTTTAGATTACACAATTATTAGTGAAAATTACACTTGACCTGGTGAGGAGCGGAGAAACTGCCATGTAAGGTGAACCTATGAAATTGACTCATCTTATTGAAGAAGACCGTTGGTGGTGTCCTGGTGCTATATCAGATAAACGGAATTTCACGAGTGAAAAACGTGATCTAGTTAGTGGCATGTGCTTTACATCACCAAAGTTCAAGCCTCGAGGTTCTCTGATCATTCATTCTTAACTTGGGCGGCTTACTTTTTTTACTGAGTAGAACGCAGCAAAGCCAGCCGCAGCCATAGCCACAGCCCCAGTAATCAGAAATGAAGGTTTCTCTATACGGAAACCACCAGTGATGTAAGCCAATATCCAGCGAGATACAAAATGCAGCCCACAGGTGTTTTGGAACTTCTGAACCGAAAAATCCTATGCAGGAAGATTCATTATGTTCTGTCAGTTAGAATATATAATAACTCACCCAAGCTTCACAATCCCCTTTTATAATAATGATACAAGAGTTTTATTACAACTAGATATGTTTCAGAAATAAGTCATGCCATGTATGGCTTATGAACAATGTATTTTTATATTGATGATTAATGCATGAAAGTTTCCCTCTCCAAGGGATATTGCAACTGAAATTATGAATTTTGCAGATACATGTATACAATGAAAGAGGCTAATGGGTGGTCAATAGGGCCAATCAGAGCTTTCCCACCATGTCAACAAATGCAACCAAACTGGAATTGAACGTTTCTAGAGAAAAGTCCTGCACAGTCTCACAGAAATTGCGCACGCATTATTCAATCTGGAAGATAATTCATGCTTGGTGAACAACTTTCTCAAGACATGAGTAGAATTGTTCATAGATAACCCGTATCTATTTTGGGCACAATTAATGTTGTCACCAAAATTTGAACCTGACATCTACCCAATTTCTCACCCACTTCAACCATAAACCCAGGTGGCATGTCATACATGAGAAACTATACATTAGCAGTCGTTGGGAGGTACTAAAATCCCAACGAATGCAGAAAGCTTTGAATTGGTAGAGCTTACTTAGGTCATAAAATTTCCCCTTCTTTTTATGTATGATAAATAGAGCTTCCTAAGCCATGTTATTTTAAGGCTGTCATTATGTAACAACACCTATTAGCAGCAATAAGAAACAAACAACTACCTTCGGTAACTTATCTTGCTGGGCTAGATGATCCACATGAAGCCTCACATTTGACGATGCAGGAATCCAGGCCCTACGGTCAACATCAGAATACACGCGTGCTACAATGTCAAACATTGTTCTTGCTCCGCCTTCAATTGCAGCCAAGATATTTGCTTCTCTGCTCCTACGATTCCTGCAACAACAAATAGCATTCCTCACAGCTGAACCTTGTAGCCATATGAAAAATTAGTTAAGGGAAAGTAATTTGGTCAACACAAAAACCATATCCACTCCTCACTCCCTGTACCCCTCAAAACTACAGCCAAAGATGATTGATGATTCATACTTGAGATAACCACACAGCATGTGCTTTGGCCATAGGTTTATTCTTCCATGCATTGGTATTAAAGAATGTGGAGAGAGCCCAAGGAATTTGTAAGTGGTTTTGAAGTATTCCTGCAAATAACAATAGATTAAGCTAAAGCAATGCATCATCATATCACAGTAATCTTGGTGGAAAATGCAGTCTGCATAAAGTTCAAAGTTGTGGTAAATTGTAAGTTCTCTGAAATTTAAAATTTTAACACCCAATAAAGTGATGAATCTTGCTATATTGGAAAGATAGCCTATAGCTTCTAAGCAAGTATTATGTGCGCTAGAGTATAATTATTAATAAGAAGTGGATGCCACAATATTATATAAACTAAATGTTTATGAATAGAAATGCAAGTATTCATATATTCTTTGGTTACAGGAAACAATTTAGAGTGTATTATGACTGTTGGAAGAATAGTGACTGTATTGTATCTTAAAGAAATATAGTGTAGTGAAAGAATATTTTAATATTACCTCTGGTCTTAAATATAAGAGTTAGTTAAAGATTCAATTTGGCTCTAAATATAAGGTTCTAATCCATTTTGTTTCCCATATTTATTCATTTTCTCTCAAAGTAGTCCCCATGATGATTGTGCATGTTAAAGAATTTCTATTCTAATACACATGATTAACAAGGATATTTTGAGAAAAACAACACCTATTCATTACCAATAACTAATTTAACAAGTTTTCTTAATATTTGTAAATTAGTTATCTAGCTCTTATATTAAAGACTGGAGGTAGCATAAAAATTCTAACCACTAAATTATATCTTTTCCCTTTTCTTAATTGAGTGCACCCTTGCACTTTAGTGGAGTTGAATGTAGCAACGCAGAGACTGATTCTTACTGGGAGTCCATAAATGTAATAAATAGAAAGAATGGAGGCAATCAGTCCAACATCACTAGCTCGATTTACACTTACAGTCATATTACCCCCACCAGTTGTGTCCAGGATAGCACTTCCTTGGCTGAAACAAAACAAGTTATCATGTTTGTGAGGCTAGCTTAAAAGACATATAAGATAAAGTAAATCAACTAATAAATCGGAACTACAAAGGGGTGACGTAAAAGATAGGTTCATACGTGACAAAGACAGACCAGACACTAAGTAAACAATGTGACCACACTGGAAGCATGCAAATTAGATAGTTGAAGCTTCCAACACCATTAACACAGATGATAGACTTGTCCCATAGATTTTTCCATTTTCCTCTTATTTTCTTTTTTCCTCCTTTGACGTTTAGCCGGATACCATAATTGAATGGGTTGCTGAAATCATAATCTGTCTTGGTCAACCAGCAGTACAAATAATGGAAGTTCCAAGAGGCTATTGAATACTCCCACAATTTCAGCTTGTAACAAACTAGAACAAAATACAGTTTCTTTCACCCACCAAACTGAGAAAAGCAATGCAATAGATTGCCCAACATAGTGAAGGAGAGCAATCCATCAAGACATTGCTTCAGATGAGGCATTCAATGTTTTTGGACAGTTTTCTTTTCTTTTCTTTGTTTCTTTATTTCTTTTTGAGGAAATGTTTCTGTACGGTTTTACTTTCATTGAAATATACTACCTCTAGTCTTATTTATAAGATCTCGTTTTTAGACTATAAGTGATGTTTTATAATTAGAACCAGAGGTAGTACATGACAAACATGCAAATGAAACTTGTATGTCCACGTGCACGTAATAGTTAGACCTCAGTCTTTGCTTAGTCATGTTTCCTGGAATACAATGGAACCTCACCCCACACAATGATCACCAACAATTAATGAATGAGTGTTCACGTGAAGTAGCGCCATGTGACCATCTGTATGTCCCTGAATCAGAGAAAATGCCATTCGTTAGAAGATAGAAGAAATTTACAGTGAATAAAATTATTTTTCACAAAAGAAAATTTTATTAGAAAGATACATGGCCCATGTGATTTGCTCTTAAAGTAAAGAGCTGGAGTAGCGCTGCCATAGTCATACTTCTCAAAAAACATTATCATGTTTATCAGCACTTAAGATCTAGAAAATGGAAGATGCTTCACTCAGACATGCTGTATCCTTAGATATAACTGACTGAAAGTGAACAGCACAAAATTGCTATCAATCATACCGGTGCCAAAATAACTTTCAATGTCTGACCACATATGTTAATTTCTTCATCTCCAGAAACTGAGGTACAGCCTAGTGACCAGTCATCTGTAATCATGCAAGACTAAATTAACAGGACAAAAATGTTTATGTTTTCAATATGTCACATTAGATAGTTCAAAAATCAAAAGAAGACAATTTAAAAACTATTATTATCTTAATCAAACAACGACTATCATACACAACTTGGTAAAAGAGATTGATAAAAACCTTATTAACTTGAATAGTTAAAAGTACACCAGATCTTCCAACGAAAAAAAAAAGGTACACCAAATTCACTCAGTAACAACAATAAGTCCAGTCAAACTTAAATATATCATTCAATTGTCAAGATTAAGAAAATGAATTTAAGAGAGATACAGTAGAAAAAATTAACAGGAGAAATCCGAAAGCTCATATGATCACATGCACCAAGAATAATGTTAAAAAATATACTAGCATGGCCATCAAATTAATACTTCCAAAAACCACACTTTAAAGGAAATTACACACCAATGCAAATTGTCACCGCTAAACTCTGCTGAAAAGAAAATAGAAACAAAAAGTTTGACATTGCAACCTTTGCTTATGCGACGAATGGTGTTTTCATGTGCTAACAAAATAGCATCAGGATTGCACTTTTGGATAACCGAGAGACCTGGCATAGGAGACTGCAAAAAATTAGAATAGAAAGAGTATACGCATAATAATATCCAATATAGGATTATTCATGTCTGATGAGAATAGAATACTGTTCAGCATACTTTTAGCAAAAACATACCATCAACATGATCATAGTGGTGATGAGTGACAAAGACAATCAATCTCCTCGGCAAAGTGGCAACAACTTTCAATAGCTGATAATTTAAGCCACTAATATGTTAGAATTTCAAAAACGGATTATGTAAGCTCCAGCCACCATTTTTAGGGAGAGAGATGGATTCATATTTCATAGTCAAATATGATCATGTTAAAATTTTAATGAAACACCAAAAATTTTTTGATGTCTCAACAGTTCTATCTTCTGGTATCCAAGCTTTAAAAAAGTTGTCAGCTAAACACAGGCATACAAGACTTTCTCTTGTTTTCCAATGCATTAGGTCCAAGGATGGAGAATCACATGAACCAGTGGGCAACGATCAATCTTGCAAATATGTTTGTACCATAATCCAATCAAGCAGAACTTAAGTTAATCTTATCACTTGAGAATAGGAGTTGGACAAAAACCTGAAAAGGCAATTTGAAATTACCTCTTCATGGAACTGTGATAGACATCCTGGATCAACTATCAGAGCATCTCCACATGCAATAAAACTTTTATCCCCAGACTCACTTGGAACATCGTCTGGGGCAAATACCACCAAGTTTGTCGTGTGAAAAGGCTTTTGGGTCCTACTTCTCATAGGTATAAGCACAACACCAGGAGGATACTCCTATGAATAAATAAATAAGTAAATCTTCATTTTGCATCAGAATATTAAACAATATGAACTCATAGGTAAAAGAACTTGCTCTGTCCATGTTCATTATAAAATCAATATTAAACTGCAGTGGTACTTTCAATTGTGAATCTTGCCCAATGTTAGCACTACATGTGGTATTTTCAACAGATGGCTCATCCTGGATGAGATAGTTATCCCATTAACATCGTAAAGGCATGTAAGGATGTTCATTTCCACATTTGGAAGCCAATATGAGGTTGAAAACCAGTAAACCCATTTATTAAATCTCAATTAAGATCTTACTTAATGTTAGCAATTAGCACCAAAGGAAAAAAAGCAAAAAAAAAAAGTGTGATTTTCTCCTTTTCTGTGGTGCTCTGAATGCAATGCAGAGGGAGGTTGAACTCATAATTGTTTAGGATGAAGTCTGCCTAAAAAGTGACTCACTGGCCTTTGAAATTCTTGTTCTAACTCGTAAAAGCTTAGCTTGTACTACATGAATGGTTTTTTATGTATTTATTTATTGTAATGTCTAGTATTTGCCCCGCCATGACAATAGACAAAATTCAAAGAAAGCAAACCTGATAACCTATGGTTGGAGGAACTTTCCACTTCGCAGAACCTAATGAGTCATTTATAAGACTAACAACTACCAATGGTCCAACACGTTTGCTAGATGGTTTTACTTCCAAAAGCCAGTTAAGACAGCTCTGGACAGACATCCATCTACATATATCTGCATGACGATTACCAGAATAAGTCAATCTGTCGTCAACAAACCAGTTTTTTCAAAGAATAAGCTTTAATAAGAGTTTACAACAAACTAATATAGAAAGTAAAAGTCAAAGAGCGAAAAAAGAAGAAGAAAAAAGTCAAAATGAATGAAGTGAAAACATTGATACTGATCCAACAAGTCACAGTCCGTTTAAATTAACTACGTCATTCATAAATTCTATAAATTCTATGATAACAAGGCCTTATCAGTGGACTAAAATTGCCGTAAGGCAGATTTACTTTCCTATCTTCCATTTGGACATTACCAACCAAATCAGTATCATATTCGTAGCTATTACCAATTATGGTCCCATATCTCCCAAACTTTTCCTAAATGTATCAACCCAGCATTTTGCTATATTTCCTCTGTCGTCCTGCCTATTATTTTATATACCCCATATCTTTCCATCTTATTTCCCCCATATTTAACTGTTCTTCTGCAACCAGAGAAGTCACCGTAAGCTGCCAAGCGCCAAATGAGGCTTTTATGTCTGTTCTATATTATAAAAAACACCAAATTGTTATCTTACAACACAAAACTTTTGAATACAATCAGAAATAAGACTTCTATAGTGGCATCATCTAAAAATAATAATAAAGGGCGAGATTGTGATTAGAAAACTGTTTACAAGCAATCGATGCAAACCGATACAAGTTTCACAATGCTAACCTGAAGGCCAAACATTATCTTTCGCTGTTAGTCTTGTTAAAAATATAATAACTTGTGTTTTTGTAAGAAATCAGTCCTCCCTGAAATTTCTCCAAAGAACTAAATCAACATCGAAGGCTAACAGGATGAACCAGCTTATCGGCGCATACCAGGCATGAGCACAAATTAATGCAAGGCTGTAAAGCCATTAGGTAATTTCTTTAAAAGATATAGTCAGCAGCCGATAGTCTATGATAATCGCAACAAACCTCGTAAGTCATGGTCCTCGGCTGGCAATACTCCCGTGATGAAGACCGTTTGAATGGGCAAGTCAGGTCCAAATGCAGGTTCCTTCACATACTTGTAGTATTTCCACACTCCCATTTCAACTGCCCCAAAGCCTATTTGTTCAAAGATCTGCATGCAAACAAACGGAAACAAAAAATACAAAATTTACTATCAAAGTATTAAAAACAATAATTCCATGCTCAAAAGCACGACCTCGTTAAAAGCCGAGCGTAAGTCGAATTCTTTCAAATCAATCTCTTCCGAACGCGATTCTGCAACTTCCACGACACATTGAGACCCGGATTTTCCTTGCAGGGGGTTCAATTGAGCGGAGGGCAAGTCCCACAGATCAGAATCGACGTAAGAATCGTACTCTTGGTGATCAAATTTTGGCGGGTGTGACTGTTTAACGAGCAGAAACTCGTCGTCATTATGAGGGTTTTTGAAGATCAACGCAAGCTTCTGAATTGCCATAGTCAATAACTATACTTGGTAAGCTTCGGGGTCAAGCGAAAGACAGAGATAGAGCAGATAGAGCACGAGTTCAGTGTTGAGAGTATGTTGAAGAAACAGAGAAAGCGGCTAAGAATACAATGGAATTATTATTAGCATTTGTTTAATATGACATCAGGCAATAATAAAATTTATATTTTATTTTAAAAAATATAAAATGCATATGAAATGACCTTTTATAACTTTATCAAGCCGAAAATAAATTGTCTAATGTTGATTTTGGAGGGTATAAATACTTATACTGATTTATATAAACTTGAATATGGATTGTATAGCCAAAATTATATAGCAAAATTTATCTGATTTATTTTATTACAATTCGATGTAATTAAGATTTCATTGTATTATTTTACTGTGATAATGAAAACATCTCAATCGGATTTATAAATAGAATGAAACTAAAATAGCGAGTTACCCCTCCCATCATAATTGTAAGAGTTGGCTATGTAGTTTGTTTTGATCTAAATATAACCTCTTAATCCATATTATTTATTATATTCATCATTCTTCTCAAATTAATTTATCTAACTTGTAAATGTATAAGTAAGTTGGAGATTTGATTTGGTCATAAATATAAGACTTTATTTTATTTTGTCTCTTATATTTATCTAACTTGCTCCCAAGTAATTTCTATTATGATCATAAGAATTGTTTCAATACACATAAATAATAAAGATATTTTAGAAAAGACATAAATAATTTAGCTTAATTAATGTTATTAATATTCACAAATTAGTTATCTAGCTTTCATATTAAGGATTGGAAGTAGTACTTTCTCCATCCTTTTTATAGTAAACAATCTGTTTTATAATAAACAATCCTGAATATGAGAAACAAATCCATTTTGTTAGAAATTTTAAATTTTTCTTTCCATTTTTACCCCCATAATTAAATATATGCCACTTTTTTTTATGATAAATTTTTACTCATCATCTTCCATATACTCACTTTACAAATAAGGGTATAATTAAAAAAAATATGTATATATCTTACATATTTATTGTTTTCAATTAAATTTAACTAACATTTTGAATCAAGTATATTTTGATAGTTATTGCTTATAATAAGAAATAGGTGGATTATAATTTATATTATATAGGAGTATTTAAGACACCGTATCACATTTATGAGAATTTAATAATTTATCTAATTTCTCTTCCCTAACTTCTCAACTATGCAGTTTTGAGCGCAACTAATCCAGTGGCCGGATGGAATGATTGGCGCCTTTGCGGCACGTTATGGCAAGTAGTTGACCGTTAGGAAAAAAGGCGCTATTGGCAATAGGGTTAGCTGGGCAAGAACTTTTTTTTGTTTTTTTAAAAATAATTTGAAGTACTCCTGAGTTACTTTTTTTACTTGGAGTTAGATGCTGACCGGCCAATAGTATTCAGGATTAAAGTCTTTTCAATAACTATGTTTTTCTTTTAAAATTAAACTTGTATTATTTTCTTCAAACTATGCAGAAAACCTCTCTAGTTTGAGGCTTTGAGCAGTGTGCTGACGATAAACAAAATCTCCAATTATTTTTCAAAAGAAAAAATAATCAGTTGTAAATTTAACTTCAACTACGTGCAATTCAGATAAGATTTAATCATTTATTTCAATTTGTTGAGTTCTTTTTTTGGGTCAAAATTTGTTGAGTTTTATTATTTGATTATAACTTAAATTTTAAAGTACCATGTGATTTTATGAAATTTTCTGAAGGCTTAAGGACTCATAAATTAGCAAATTAAATGACTAAAATTTCAAGAATGAGTTGAGGAGAATAAATTTCAAAGACTGATTTAAAATTACATAGACTAAAATATTAATTTTCCAAAAAATTACAATAGATCAAAACACAAGTAAATTACA